GCCACAGAGTGTTCTATTTCTCATAGTGCCATCAATCCATCTATTCCCACGGTTCCGGTTGCGATCAATCAAAATTGCCTGAATTCCTGGAAGGCTCCCATTGCAAGGGTCTTTTTCTACTGTATCTGACACCGCCGAAGGAGGAGGGGAATTTCCAGCCCATTCCTGAATTGAAACAACTGGTATACCGTACTGAGAATCGAAAAATCCAAATCGAGTTCTGGTCAGGCATTACGTCTGCTGGTCAACCCACAACCAGAGTAGGACCGATGATTATCAGTAGATAGGTCGGATCCCGGGTCCGGACAAAATTTTGAAATCTGCCTTGCGAGGTGTCCGCCAGAGTCAGGACAAATGGGCCTACAGTGCCCGTCATCACATCACGGTTCCGCATTTGGCAGTAAACAAGTCAAAACTTTGAACCTCCAACTACATTATGCCTTCATCATGAGTGAACTTAAAACACCCTGGAAACACTCAAAGGATGCATAAAGAAGATCCCTTATGCTTGGTTAGTCAATCAAAGAAGATTTTATTTTTTTTGGCTGAAAAAGTGAAACAAACCCTAATGATGGCATCAAATTTACATATTGGGTAGGGTTAAAGTCACGTGTTTAGTAAGTCCACCCGCGTTTGAATTCTGTGGTTTGTTTCTACGCAAATTGTGAGAACTCCGAACAACATGAAACATTATCAGAGCATCCTCCCATCCTTCCAAAGGCTTTCCCGGTGTCATAATGGTGATTTGGGCCAACTTTTTTTTTCCAGACTGCGAAAAAGTGAAACACCGTGGGAAAAATGAGTTTTTGTGCTGAATCACATTCTTTTGGTCAGTTTCGTGGCTCAGAAAATCAGAAATAAATCACAAAAATTTCATTGACCCTGAAAAACACGTGCAGAGAAGTGATGACGGGCACTGTAATGGGTGCAGCAGGTCTGAGTCAGAGTCCGGACAATGGGTGTCGACAGGACCAAGGTCTGTTCCCTCATCCGGACGTTTGATGGTGGCCCGCGATCCTTGTTGCCTGTAATAGCTAGCCACCATCCAGTGTCTAAATTTAATTTGAGTCCTTGAAATCAAGTCCAGAAACAGGCAAACCATCTCCTCTTCCCACCACTGTGTCTCGAGCAAATATCTAATTTGTATTGGCACCTCTACATGCCATGGATTATGCCATCATCAATGATGATGAAGAGGATATGTGCATGGAACAAGACTGGCATCCTACGGAGTGGATGGCGTGTGGCAAAAAGTACCACAATATTCCCCGGATTGTCGAGACAGCTTGACGCAACATTCTAAAAATCCCCTCCTCCTTTATTGACATTCTCCCCTCCGAAACGATGACAATAGCGGAGCTCCTGGTGTTCTGACCGCTCATTTTTGAAGGCTATCAAACGGCGCCGCCAGATTTTTTCCAAGATTAAATGCATTTCGACGGTGGCAGAAGCCGGAATCGGCAGTTCTGCTGGCCAGATACTGGAATAAGGCTGCTATGGCTTCGCCATGATAGGCTCTGCCATTGCGCTCGTCCGAGGTATGTTTCTGATTGATTGCATCACATAGTGGTCAGCTTACTGAGCGAAAATCCACAGTGGTTACGATGTACTACAAGAATGGAGGCAAAGCAGGAGCTCATTCCTGGACGGCTACTTGTGAAAGTATTGGTGCTTTATCATTTGTTGTTGTACAGGTGTATGAGCACAAATTTTCAAGATCATTCCTCATTCCACAGCCTCGCTGCCAGTGGGTACAATGCGGTTCGAACACCTGCCAGCAAACTCGTTCTTGGTGCTCCTCCCACGAGATAACACAATCAAGGCCATCCACAATCACATTGAAATTGGGGTTCACACTCACAAAATCTTCGAGGAGCTTACAGTGCCCGTCATCACTTCTCTGCACGTGTTTTTCAGGGTCAAAGGAATTTTTGTGATTTTCTGGGCCATGAAACAGACCAAAAGAATGTGATTGAGCACAAAAACTCATTTGTTCCCACGGTGTTTCACTTTTTTTTTTCGGGTCCAGAAAAAAAAAAGTTGCCTCAAATCACCAGTATGCCACTGGGAAAGCCTTTGAAAGGATGCAGGGATGCTCTGATAATGTTTCATGTTGTTCAGAGCTCTCACAAGTTGTCTAGAAACAGACCACAGAAATTCGGACGCGGGAGTGACGCGGGGTCTAGACGAAACACGTGACTTAACCCTACCCAATATGGGAATTTGATGCCATCATTAGGGTTTGTTTCACTTTTTCAGCGAACAAAAAATAAAATCTTTGATTGACTAACCAAGCACAAGGGATCTTCCTTATGCCTCCTTTGTGTAAGCAGGTCAGAGACGTGTTCAAGACCGCTACACCAAAAGGGAGATAATTGATGAGATAATACTCATCAATTGCGCGCCTATATAAGCACATGGTATTGTTGTAATCGGGCATGATTACACCCTTCCCCTCTCTGGAAAGTTGTGTGGGTAGGTGGGTTTTTCCAGTGGTTCCAGGACTTATAAATCTTCCTCAAGGTTGTGATCCTTGACACTGGCTCGCAAGGTCACACGTTCGAACCGCGTTCAAGACCGCTACACCAAAAGGGAGATAATTGATGAGATAGTACTCATCAATTGCGCGCCTATATAAGCACATGGTATTGTTGTAATCGGGCATGATTACACTTTGAGTGTTTCCGGTGTGTTTTAAGTTGACTCGTGATAAGGGTGTAATGTAGTTAGAAGTTCAAAGTTTTGACTTGTTTACTGCCAAAAGCAGAACCGTGATGTGATGGCAGGCACTGTACATTTGAGAAAGAGGTGCTTGAAAAGGTTGTTGCGAGCCTGAATACAGTTCGAAGGAAAGGGAAGGCCCATATTCATATTACAGAGCTGGCAGAGGATGATTGCATAGAGGATGAATTACTAGGATTTTTTTGGATTTTTTCGCATTTTTGCCGCCTTTTAGGGCCTCTGGCGGGTCCAAAGTCCGGACAAAATTTCTCAGACCCCCAAAATCCGGATCCGACCTATCCACCGATAATCATCGGTCCTACCAGAGTCCTGTCAGGTTTCGTCAGGCTGATATGAAAAATTCAATATATGCAAGTGCCGGATAATGCCTGTTGCCGTCTGAGCAGCCAAATCGGATTTTCCCAAGAACTACGCACATGCCGCTACAGATGCCCCTCCTCCCTGCCGCTTTGATGAGTACTACAGTCACCTAACTTTCTTGCTCTTTTAAGTGTTCCAACCGAGGAGGAGTAGTAGAAACTTTGCCACCGTTTAAGCCAGGAGTGGCGGGGAATCCCCTTCCCCACCACAAAACCTGCTACCATGCAAAGAGGTAGATAGCAAAAGCATTCCAGTTTCACGACAATGGACGAAAAGCCACGAAAATCAAATGATCTGAGACCGAAGTACGTCTATGTACATTGTCTAGATCATGTGTCGAGAGTGATATTTCTAAATTGAACCATGTCCTCGACTCGGTGCCATTGGTCCTTTTATTCCGCTATCCCAGGCTCTTACTCGGAGAAAAGAGGAGTTAAATTAACCTGGTGGTGTGTGGAAGCAGGCCTGCTATTTATGACTTGAGCTTCGAACATTCACACAGGAAATACCCCGTTCGATTTGAATTCGGGGCCAGGTCTCTGCCATTGAAGTCATAATGTTTTCAGCTCGCTCCGCCCATTGATTTTTTTTCTTTTCACGAGGGTATATGTATGATTCTAGCCTGCGCACAAGCATAGATTGGCAAAGATTGCGATGAAGACGAGTCCATAATCATATATGGGGAGTTTACAAAAAATTAACCACATAAGTATCAGGATTGCCAGGTCGGGAAATTCAAGTTCAACCGGCCGCAACGCTCAGGCCCCGATGGGGAATGTTGACACTGCTCCCTCCCGGTGGACATAGCTTCAAGAGTCGAGGCTGCACACGTGTTATTTACAATTCATGTTTTTTTTTTTCGCAGGCTAGTTTGAGCGCTATGCGCCTTCAACTTTGCGCTCAACAAAGGTCTGTACTGTACAATGTACTTCCTTCTGCCAGACTTGCACATTATTCTGTATCCACAACTCGCTCTGACTTCTCCTGTCGTGGCAGGATGATTATTGTTTTGCTTATAATCAAATGGAACCATGTCCTCGACTCGGTGCCGTTGGTCCGTTCATTCCGGTATTCCTGGCTCTTACCAGCGGAAAAGAGAAGTTAAATCGACCTGGTGGTGTGGAAATAGACCTGCTATTACTTATAATGTCCCCATCAACATTCATGCAGGAAATACCCCGGGGCCAGGTCTCTACTATATACGTAAAACACTTTTGGCTCACTTCGCGCACTGATTTTTTTTCATGAAGGCACATATATGATTTCAGCCTCCACAAAGATTACAATGAAGACGAATTGAGATAATCATAGGTGAGAGGTCTACAAAACTTCAGCCATGAAAGTATTGTGATTAGCAGGTCGGGAATTTCAAGTTCAACCGGCCGCAATGTCCAGCTATGGATACGGAAGGTCAATGCTGCTCCCTCCTGGTGGATGTAGCATCAGGAGTTTGTAACTTAAGTGTGATTGTAATTGGTGCTCACGTTGATTTGCTCTGCATCCTAGATGTAAATGGGGATGCGGAGAAAAGTCCAAGAAAAGTCTGGTTGATTGACTGTAGACTGGTGGGAGGATATGTAATTGGACAACTGATCCCTGTACAAGTGTGGCCTGGTGGTGTAATGGTAACACATCTGCTTTGATTAATACAAACTGTTTGTGGTATGCAGGAGTTCCTTGTTCAATTCAGGGCTAGGTCATCTTTTTGTGCTCTTTTTCTATGAGTTTTGCTGTCATTCTTGCTTCAATGTTGTAATTGTGATTGTAATTGGTGCTCATGTTGGTTGATTCATTCCTACATGCAAATGGGAATGGGGAGAAAAGTCTGGTTGATTAGGATATTACATTGGACTGAGTAGGAGAATATATTGACAGAAATGAACAGGTAACTCTAATGTGGTCTGGTGGTGTAGTGGTAACACATCTGCAAGAAATTGAATGGGTGCACTGGTGTCGGCAGGAGTCCCTTGTTCGATTCAGGGTCGGGTCATTGTTATTTCCTCCCTTTTTTTTTTCGGTTTTGCTGTCATTCCTGCTTCGACGTTGTCATTGTAATCGTAATTGGTGCTCACGTTGATTTGTTCTGCATCCTAGATGCAAATGGGAATGGGGAGAAAAAGTCTGGTTGATTAGGACATAATGGACAGCTGAGTCATGTATTAATATACTCTGTGTAAGTATGACATGGTGGTGTAGTGGTAACACACGTGCAAAAAAAAATTGAACTAAATAGGTTAGGCAGGAGTACCTTGTTCGATTCCAGGTCAGGTTTTTTTTTTTTTTTCGTCTTTCTCTTTCGGTTCTGCTGTCACTCCTGCAGCCTGCTTCAGCATTACTCGTTTAGTACTCACATCGTTGATCCATGCCTCTTATTCAGAAGAGCCAAGATGCAAACAGGAATGGGGAGAAAAGTCTGGTTGATTAAGATATTACATTAGATTGAATGGGAGGGTACATAAATGGACAGCTGATTCTCACACAGATGTGGCCTGGTAGTGTAGTGGTAACACACCTGCAAGAATTTGAGCAAGTAAAGTGAGGTTAGCAGGAGTGCCTTGTTCGATGCGAGGTCAGGCCAAATTTGAAATTTTAACCCACTTTTTCTCTTTTTCATCTCGTGCTTGGGGGAATGGGCTTTGAATTTTCAAGTAGGTGCCTTGGTCTGAGGTAGTCTCTAGACCCACTTCGCCGTTTTATTGAACGATCAAGGCACCCAGCGATAAGCGATAATCAGATTAGATTTACCTAATACGTATTTGGCGTTGTTGACGTCGGCGGCGGCGCGTCAACTCTGTCTTTGCGCGTCTACCTACGGATCTGCTACCACCATCCACATCCCACTCGACGACCAGCTACCTTGGGCGTTCATATCGAGGGAAGGAGGACAGAAGCGCCCGTCTGCGAGCGGCGTGACATAGCGGGATCGGGATTCAGGAGCAGTCTCCGCGAAACGACAGAATTTGGATTCAGAGTTCAGGTGCGTGCTTATCCTACGACATACGGCTCATTGCCAACTACTCTCTATTCCAGTAAAAACGCGATGGGCAAGAAACGGCAGCGGAACCGCAACAGCGGGGGTCCGAACACGGTGTTTTATCCCAGTAAAGACGCGGAAGATGAGGATGATGAGGGTGGAGAGGCGCCGGACGCGCTGACGGCTGCGGCGCTGGCGGCGACGAGCGAGCTGCTGGCGACGGCGAAGGAGCTGTACCGGTCGCTTGGGGGCGGTGCGGAGGACGGGGACGAGGGGGACGAAGGGTACTGGCGGGGGCTGCCTGCGTCTGTGCGGGCCGGAGTGCGGGAGGCAGCGGCGGTGCTCACGGAAGCCGGGCTCACGCAGGACCGGAGCTTGCCGGGCGGAATTCAAACTCCGCGATCAGCTGCTGACCAATACTTTTCACCGTCGTTGTCCACCGCTCCGAGTCCCACCAGCCCGGCCGACAGCGACATCCCACCCAGCCCCGACGTCGCCCAAGACATCCCCGCCGCCGTCGTCCACAGCAGCGAGAGCAGCCCCGTCGCCACCGTCCACAGCCACAGCAGCACCAGGAGGATGGCCCCGCCGCCGCCGCCGCCGCCCTCCAGCGTGTCTATCGGCAAAAAACCGATGGCGTACCAGCAGCAGCAGCAGGCTCCCGCCGCGCCCCCAGCCCGCTCCGCCCGCGCAGCAGGTAAGGCCGCGGCGTACCCCCCCGCACCCGGCACACCCGCCGACAAGGGCGCCGCAAAGGGCAGCAGCAACGCCAGCAATAATAATAACAACACCAGCAATAGCAGCAGTAACAACAACAAGATTTGGAGCACGAGCAGCAGCGAGGAGCGCGAGCGGATCCGCGACTTTTGGCTCGCGCTGGGGGAGGAGGAGAGACGGGATCTGGTGAGGGTGGAGAAGGATACGGTGCTGAGGAAGATGAAGGAGCAGCAGAAGCATTCGTGCTCGTGCGCCGTGTGTGGGCGGAAGCGGTGGGTTCTTTGTTCCTTGCCATCTCCGTTCCTTCATATCGTCTCTTCACTTCTATCCTCTTTCACCCGTAACCCGATCCAATCTCATCCCACCCACCCCCAGGAACGCAATCGAAGAGGAGCTCCAAGTCCTCTACGACGCGTACTACGAAGACCTCGAGCAGTACGCGCTCTACCAACAGCAGTACCTCTCATCCAACCGCACGCTCCCGCCGCCGCCTGGCCCCGGCCCGTTCCCAGGCAGCGTGGAGGTCGATCGGTATGGGAGCGTCGTGGGGTACAGCCCGCATACCGCGCCGCTCGCGCATAGCCACCCCACCGTAAATCCGGGGGTGAATGGCCGAGGCGGAGGCGGCGGGGGGAAGGGACGCAGGGCGCGCGCACGGGGGCGGGGGAACACTACCGCCAACCCAAACGCAAACCCCAACGCCAACGGGGGGCGGAAGAAAACGCTTCCTCCGCCGCCCACAGAGGAGGAAGACGTGTACGAGGAGGAGGAGGAGGAAGAGGAGGAGGAGCCGGACGCGGACGCCGATGACGGGGACCCCGACGCGGACGATCTGGACGTGGACGATTTGGATGCGGAGGATGCGGATCTGGATGCGGAGGTGGGGCTGCGCAGCCCGCCGCCTGCGCCACTTCCCAATGGGATTGGGGGTGGGCGGGGGCGGGGCGGGGGGCCGCCTGTGCAGCCGCAGCCGCAGCGCGGGGGGCGGGGAGGCGGAGGCGGAGGGGGGAGGGGTGGCGTGGATATGAAGGGCAAGATCGCGGCTGGGGTGGGCGCAGGGGTTGGCGGTGAGTCGCGTTTTCGCGTTTTCTTCCCTCCGCTTTCCCTTTCGACTGCATTTCATTTTCATTTCGGTTTTCGTCGGCATTTTTTCCATCTTGGTTCTACTTTACTTTCTTTCCTTCCGTCTGTTTTTTTTCTGCGTCCCGCCAGCGGGGCGATGGCGATGTGCTGGCCAGCACCACTCACTACCACTTGGTCGCGTGCCCACCTCGGCTATATATAGCGCTGGCGCCACTTTTTTCGATTTCCCATCCCTTCGCCCCGCGTCTTTCCGATGAAAACACCTCTGTTCCCCGTTCCTCCGATCCCAAATTTCCGCCCCATGTGCAATGCGTCGACTTTCATCGTCCTCCCCTCCCTCCTTCGCCTCCCTCCCCCCCTTCTATCTTTCCTTTCCTTCCCTTTTTCTTTTCCTCTTCCATCGAAACCCCCATTCATACCCATCCTCCGCACTCACTGACACGACACTGACGCCCCCACGCCACAGGCCCGACCTCGATCCTCACCGTCGCGGACGACCTGCTCAAGAACGACGGGCAAAAGTTTTTGGAGATGATGGAGCAGTTGGTGCGTTTCCTCTGCTTTGTGTTCCTTTCCTTTCCTTTTGGATGGCTTGGAAGGTGTTTTTTGCGGAGGCTGATGATTGCGATGTCGTGCATCGTCCCCACGCGTCGGGGCCGTCCTCGATCTCGCGCAAAAAGACTCGCGACGCCCAACCCCATGCGGGCGTGCCTTTGCTTTTTTGGGGGAGCCTTGATGTTTGACGACGTTTTTTGCGCCGATAGTTTCTGCTCGTGTGTGTGGGTTTCGTTCGCAGGGTTGGGTCGTGTGTTTCGTTTCGTTGCTCGTTTTATGGAGACGGAGGTGGCGCGCGGGGAGCGCGAGGGAGGGGTGCGGGTTTCAGCGTGGGCTGAGCGTTCCGCGGCGACGAGCGGAGGTTGCCCCGAATACAGGTGACGGGGTCCTTTTTGAGGCGGCCGAGGAGCGAGTTTGGGTGTCTCCTTCTGGTTTTTCGTTTCTGCCGCCCTGTGCATGGTTTGCGTCAAGCTACCCGCTTTGGGGCTGCGTTTTGTTGGGGATGGACTTGTGCCTCTTATATTCGCCCTTTTCTTTATTATACATAGACGCTGACTCGTTGCTTTGTGTGTTTTTAGGCGGAGCGTCGGATGGCGCGCGAGGAGGAGGCGGCGGGGGGTGTGAGTGGGGATGAGGTGCGTTTCTGTTTTGCGTTTACCATTCTACCCTCCCTCCGCTCTGAATTGACACCTTTATTTCGACAGGACGACTCCTCCTCGGGCTCGCTCGACGGGGACGCGTCGGACGGGTCGGACGACGGGTCAGAGGGTGACGAGGGGTCGGATGGGGAGGACGACGAGGAGGGGGAGAGCGGGGACGACGATGGGGAGGGGGATGATGAGGACGATGAGGGGGAGAGCGAGAGTGGCGGGGAGGAGGTGCGTTTTGTTTTTGTTTTCGGGTCGTGTTGCCTGCGATGTTCAGGCGGGGCGCGGGGCGCTTCGCCTCCGTCCATGTTCACGCCCTTCCTCGTTCCGCTGTTCTCCCGATCACGATGCTGACGCTCCGCCCTAGGTCATGACGGAGGAGCAAAAAATGGAGGAGGGCAAACGCATGTTCAGCATCTTTGCGGCGCGGATGTTTGAGCAGCGCGTGCTGCAGGCATATCGCGAGCGCGTGGCGCAGGAGCGGCAGGTGGGTTTTCTAGTATCTTCATCCTTGACGCCGCCGCTGATACGATTGACTCGCAGCTGCAACTCCTCCGAGAGCTCGAGGACGAGGACGAGCGGGAGCGGGAGAAGGAGGCCAAGAAGCAGACGCAGAACCAGAAGAAGAAGGATAAGCGTCGGTGAGTGTCCTTTCAGAACTATGTGTGCATTGGAGTTAACTGTTTTTGTGCGTATAGGCAACAAAAGCAGGCCAAGGAGGAGAAGGAGGCGCAGAAGGCGGCGGAGAAGGCTGCTGAGGAGGCGGCGGCCAAGGCTAAGCAGGCCGCGGCGGAAGAGGAGCAGCGCAAACGGCGTGAGGAAGAGCGTGTAAGGCGCGAGGCGGCGCGCAAGGCGCAAGAGGAGGAGAAGGCCCGCAAGGAGGAGGAGAGGCGGAAGCGCCTTGCGGAGGAGAAGGAGAAGGAGGCGGAGCGTGAGCGCAAGCGGCGGGAGAAGGAGGAGCGCACCAAGGCGGAGCGGCGGGACCGGGAGGAGCGCGAGCGCAAGTCGAGGGAGGAGCGTGAGGCCAAGGCGGCGAAGGAGCGCGCGGCGCAGCTCGCGGCGGCCAAGGAGCGCGAGGAGAAGGAGCGGGAACGGAAGAAGGCGATTAAGGAGAAGGAGGAGAAGGAGGCCAAGGAGAAGGCGGAGAAGCTCGCGGCGGCACAGCAACAGCAGCAGCAACAGCAGCAACAGCGCGCTGCAGCCGCAGCCAAGAACGCCAGCAACAACGCTCGTGCTGCAGCGGTGGTGTCGCCCACGCCCCCGCGGAACGTCAATGCGAACGCGAACGCCAATGCA